CGCCACCGAAGAATACATTCGCAATTGCGGTGTTCACAATTGAGTATGGTTGGGTCCTTCGCCAGGCTAATTTCTGGCAGTTCGAATGCTTCCGGTGTTTCAAAAATTTGCTCCCGCTGCAGGGTGGGCTTCATTTTTGGAGCGGCGCTTTGCTCCCGTCGTTCAGGATGGCGCTCCCGCCCCAGCGCGGAGGCCCCTTTTCTGGATCCGAGTCTGTCTTCTTTGCTGTCGCCCCGCTCCTTTCCCCTCCTCAGCCTTCCTCTGGTCCTCCTGGTCCTCCCGCTCCTTCCACTCTAGTTCCTGCTGCTGCTGTTCTTCCTCGTCCTTTCCTGCTCCCCTGCCACCTCCTCCTCCTCCTCCTCCTCCTCCTCCTTTGCACTGAGCTGGACTGGAAAAAAGCCGCGCCTAGACGGCGCATCGGCGGACAACCGTACAAGATAGGAGGCCACGAAAAATGCGGAACACGGCCACTGAATTTCGCAATGGTGGGCAGCGGTAGGCAATACATTTGCGCAGTACCGTGCATGAAGGGGGGGTAGGTGGGAGAGGAGGGGAGGAAAAGGAGGACAAGGACAAGGAGAGGAACACACTAACTACACTGATTTGCAATACCGTGCAGCTGCAGCTTCCCAAGATACGCGAGAGCCTCGCAGCAGGCTATGCAGTCTATCCAGACAATCTCCAGCTAGGCCCAGAGCACACGCGTGCATGTAATGCGTCCACAGTAGGCGAGGGCCTCTTTGCTTCCGTGATATGCTCCTGCAACAATGTCGAAGACATTCGTGCTGTTCCACTCATGTTCCTTACTCCGGATCCCTTAATATTCGTCCCCCGGGTCCGGTTTATTAAGGCGCCTTTTAGGGAAGCAGGGGGGTCCGGTTTATTAAGGCGTTTCTTGAAGCCGACGTTCAGGGGGGGTCCGGTTTATTAGGGCGCCTTTCGGGTACTAGCCCGCGGAGTACTAACCATCATCATCATCATCATCATCATCATCATCATCATCATCATCATCATCATCATCATCAGCATCATCATCGTCGTCATCGTCATCGTCATCGTCATCATCATGTTCATCATCACCAACATCATCATCAACATCATCATCAACAACATTTTCAACATCATCGTCATCATCCTCATCATCGTCGTTATCACCATCATCACGATATGATGCGGCGGTGGCAATGATGGCACTTCTGATGGCGATGACGACTATCTCGGTGATGGTTTCCTCGTCGCACCCCAAGCGCGAACATCATCTTGCGCACTTAAGTGCCCCTCAGTTCTCCTTGAAGCCCGCCTTCAAGGCCGCTTTCTTCGTGCGGAAAGCTGCCCCTTTAGAGTTGTGCCAGGTCTCGCCAGCCCTTGCGTCCCCTCCCCCGCGTGTGAATATGGTGACTGTCCACCCGCGGGTGGCTTTCTGCACCTCCTAGTGGCGGATCCCGAAACGTTGCGGATGAGCCGGGGGCGAGGAGGGAGGACGGGGACAGCGTGATTCGATGGAGGGGGAAGGGGGGAGGAGGAGGAGGAGCAGCAGCAGCAGGGGTGCCGTTGTCGTCGTCGTCGTCGTCGTTGTCATTGTCGTTGTCGTCGTCGTCGTCGTCGTCGTCGTCGTAGTCGTAGTCGTAGTTCTCGTATCGTCGTCGTCGTCGTCGTCGTCGTCGCACTCGCAATTTTGCTGGGGGGTGGGTCCGGAATATTAAGGCGCCCTCTGCGGGAGGGGGTCCGGAAAATTATGTCGCGAAAGAAGGGGGGGTCCGGTTTTTTTTTGGGGGGTCGATTATTAAGGGATCCAGAGTACTTCCTCGAGATGAAGGCCGGGGGGATTGTGCAGATCTTACGCAAACGCCGTGCTTGGAAACCATTGAGCCTGTCCTTATCAGCGGCGGGCAACATGCGAGATTCTAGCCCATAGAGTAGCTTCGAACATATGCACGTGTATCATCGTTTTTCGCCAGCGGCAGACGGTTGCATGGCTCGAAATGCCTTCTGCGCCTCACCAAGCGTAAGCTCTGTTTTGGGGCGTCCATCGGTAGTCAGAAAGCCATCCAAATAGGTAGCGTGGTCTTGGCATCGATAGGTTCGCCCCCAGGCACAAATATTGTCGCATCACATCGGGTTTTCAAGAGTACCGTCTTGCAAACATTAAGTTCCACACCAAATGATTTCCCGATGTGCGCAATAACGTGCAAGTGGGTTTTAAGAGCGTCTGGGTTCTCTGCTGTCAACTGCGTGTCGTCGACATCGAGTATGTCTTCTATGATGATGTACGGCTTTTTGACTGTCGAGGGGTTGTTCTTATGTAGTTTGGTGTCCACAGATTGCAGAATAATGGGCATTACGAAAGCACATAAGTGTGGTGTTAATGGGCACCCTTGCGCGATCCCAGCATTCTGGTATCGCGGGGACGACATCCCTTCACACTTTTCGCGATGAATTCGCGTGCCGTGTACATCCCCCTGATCATGATGCGAATACTTGGGTGTATACCAAATTGCCGCAAAGCGTGGAGCAGTCCATCTGGCTTGATGCGGTCGAATGCGTTGGACCAATCCAAAAGGTATATCACCTCAGAGAAGGACCCCAATCAGTGGATGGCTTGATCGATAAGAAGATCGACTGGGAACCCGGGAACCCAGAACCCACGGAAATCGGCCCGGATCCGAACCAATAACCAGGAACCCGGGAACCCGGAACCGGGAACCCGGGAACCCAGCCCGCCACCAAGATCGGCGGGAAATTTCGCCAAATTTTTCAATATCCGCTAGGACCCCTTCAGTGCAAGCACTGATTGGGGAATAGAAGCTTTCCATGTTGATCTTCGAGGGTCACATCAAGAAGGCGTCGCGCCAAGAAAAGCAGTGCGTCCGCGGTGACGCGGGCCGGGCGGAATCCGCACTTGTGATTCGTCAAAGCGCTGTTCCACGCCACCTGCTGTTTTGGCCTGTGTAAAATGATGCTCGCGGGTACTCTGTAGCCCACAGCTAACAGTGTAGTTCGCCTCTAATTTCGGTATTGTTTAACCGATCCCATCCCCATCCCCATCCAGGCCCCACCATCTCATCCCCCCAGTTGGGGAAATACCCTTCGAGATCTGACAGGAATTGCGTATATCCCCATCTAGGGGGGTTACCCGACCAGTGGGGCCCAGGCCACGCGAGGGGGGATAGGGATCTGTTAAACGATGTTCATAATTGCTCCGTTTTGAAGTGTCGCCCTGTTTCAAGATGGTGAGAATGGATGTTGCTCGCCAGTATTCCAGTGTTGCCCGTGTTGACAACATCCATCACATAGTTTCCCGGGGTATCTCCAAAGCCGTGTCACTGGTCCGTATAATTTACCATGCATTTGGTGATATGTCATTGTTCCCTGTTGCTTTCTGCGTTATTAGCGCTTGAACTGCTCGCCGTATCTCTTCGATCGTAATACGCCCTGCATGTACCTTAAGAGGGGCCGCGTTGAGTTCTACTTTATAGAAGGTCTTGAGGCCGTCATAGAAATTCCAGTGTATATATTTCAAATAGTCGGAGATCGTTTACGCTCTGTTTGGAATCCACCAAAAAACATGCTTGTCTCGCAGACGTCCTTGTCGTAACGGCGGCTGTGTCCTTAGAGAACGTATCGTTTTCAATCCTCTATCGTGGACCGCGTTCTCCAACCAGTTTCTCTTATCCGCACGCGCAGAAACTTGTAATTGTGCGTTCAACGCCTTCACAGGAGCTCGGACACCCATGTCTCTGTGTTTGTTCCTCGGGTGTATCAAGTGGGGTGTCCATGAAGATATCCATGGTCTGCGCGGCGTGGCCGGTAGAAGCGGCACGCTTTCAGCAGCCGATTCGAGCATGCCGGACGTTTTGGACGCAGCTTGTGTTCCTGATGATGCAAGACACGATGTGGCCTGCTGGCTGGAGCAGGTCGGCTATGACACGCGTCCGCGAACATGTCAAATCAGCGCAATGGGAAGGGATGGGAAGGAAGGACTTGATGTCAGATGAGGCACGAGCGCACCTAGCTTGTCCTCCTCCCTTCTCGTTTCATGTGCAATAGCCATGGCACGCGTGCCACGTGTTAGGGCTGTCTTGGCTCGTACGGGCCAACTGGGCCGTCTTGAGGCGATCTTCGGGGCCTCTTGAGCTGTCTTGGGCTGTCGGAAGCACGAGGGCTGAGATCGCGAACCAAATTGAAATATCCAAGGGGCATACTTTATTTTGCCGCTTGAGCCCCTTCTGGGGTCCTCCAACCATCTCGGAGCCATCTGAGGCGGAAAAGACAATGGAGTTCAGTTTCGGGGGGACCTGGTGAATTGCTAGTGGGAAAGTGGGAATCTTCCTTGGAAGGCCAGCAAGTGCTCTAAAGTTCGGCACGCCCTGCGCCCTCGTGGCACGCACGGTGTTCCAATGGCCTTCGGCCCATGTCGCCACTGCTCACGAGTCGTAGACAAAATAGAGAGGAAGAGGAACGAAAAGAAGGGGAGGAGGATGGAGGAGGTGGAGGAGATGGAGAAGCAGCAAGAAGGGAGGAACTGAGCACTAGAAGGACGTGGATGAGGAGGAGGAAGGAGGCCTCTTGGAGACCCCTTGGGGTCTCTTGGGGGAGGGGGCCCCCCGCGGGCCGGGCCTCTCTGGCGCACGCTGAGGCCTCGTGGAAGCTTCTCGGGGGGTCTGCGGTCCCGGGTTCTGGGATCCGGGTTGTCGACATGTTTTTTTTGTCGGGAGTTCCTAATTCTAGAGGGAGGGTTATCCCAAGGTGGGGCTGGGGAACGGGCCCAGCTGGATGCGCCCGCTGAACGCGGTTCCCCTTTCCAGGGGCCGTTCGGAGCGATTCTCCTTCCAACCCCACTTTTGCCCCAACCCCACCTTTGTGCTCCTCCGATGTTTGTTATCTGCAGTGCCATCAGAAGCCTCAGGAGGCCTCCGGGGACGTCGCGCTTCCGGTGATGCGAGGCGCGAAGTTAATTGGACTACTTAGGCGTCGATATATGGCTTGCGTCCTCCTGCGAGGGCGGACAAGAAGAACAAGGAGGCGTTCGTGACGTGGAGCGACCTGAAAGTGGGGCCCATCAACTCCACTTTCGGAGCCACCCCAGAGGTGGTTCGGGCAAGGCAAACTATCCTCCTCCTTGTCCTCCTCCCTCATCCTCCTCCCTCCCTCCTCATTGTTCATCTAATCCTTTGGATTCGCCTTTCTCGCCCTCTATTCCCGCCTTCTCGTCCCCCTGTTTCTCCCCCCGACCCCCTTGTCCCTATCCCATTCTCACTTCGTTGCTGCTCCTCTTTCTCTTCCTCCTCCTCCTTTTCCTCCTCCTCCTCCTTTTCCTCCTCTTACTCCATGTCCGCCTTCCCCTCCGTTTATCATTCCTCCTCCTAATGCTCCCCTTCCGCCCTTCCTCATCGTTCCCTCTGTGCCCCCTCAATCCCCTTGGCAATTTGTTTCTCCTCCTCCTGCCCCCTCGACCCCGTTCTTCAGTTGGAGCTGGAGGACCCAGACATCCGACGATGCTTTTTGTTGTTTCCTGCACGCGGGCCCCAGTCGAGGTCCCGACTTCTTCCCCAGGGGCAGCTTCCGTCCCAGAACAATGTCTCATGGCCCCCCCCCCCCAGGGCCCAACGGGCCCAAAGGGAGAGGCCAGGATTGATCCATCCTTGCACAGATCTGGCGAGGAGTTGAGACCTGCAGGGGCTGGGCAAGGCCCGAGCTCGATCGGTGATCCCGCACGATCCGATCCCGATCCGAGTCCGCGCCGAATCGGGCGCGACCCAATCCTTTTCCGATGCGACCTCGCTCTGCGATCCGATCGAGCTCAGGCCTGCCCTTCTCTCTACTGGCGAAGGAGTAGGAGGACGATGACGACAAGAACGAGACGGTCGACAGGGAGGAGGAGGAGGAGGAGCAGGAGGATGAGGAGGAGGAGACCGTGGTTCGGTTCGTTTCGGTCCTCCTCGAAGGCGCGAGTCACAGCACGACTTCCGGACGAGTGCCAGCCCCAAGGGAGGGGGGCGACAGCCGAGGTGAGGGGAGGAGGAGGAGGAGGAGGAGGAGGAGGAGGAGGAGGAGGAGAAGGCCATGGTTCGGTTCGTTTCGGTCCTCCTCGAAGGCGCGAGTCGCAGCTCACGACTTCCAGACGAGTGCCAGCCCCAAGGGAGGGGGGCGACAGCCGAGGTGAGGGGAGGAGGAGGAGGAGGAGGAGGAGGAGAGGCGCGGCCGCCAGCGGCCAGGAGGCGGCCCTGGCGCGCCCGCCACGCGGCGCGGCCTGCCCTGGGCAGCCTCGCGGGGGCGGCGGCGTGCTGGAGGCCGGTCGGTCGGGGGGTGATGTATGAGTTCGACCCAGACCTCGAACGCATTGAAAAAATCAGGACGCAGGTTTTTCTAGATTTTCGGCCTCTGGCGGCCCTCGCCGGGCCCCGGGACCGTCAAAACACGACTCAGGATGAAAAGCCGCATTGCAAAAATCACGACGCCGGATCTCTGGGTATGAGTTACACGGCTCGAAGTTTTCCGGAGGCTCCCGTCGGCTGCGCCTGGTCGAGGGCGCTCCCGGGCGGTGCGAGCAGGGCCCCGAGCGGCCGCTCGAGGCCCGAGGGATCGCCCCGAGCGCCAGGCGGCAATCTGGCTTGGCGTGCGGCGCGGCCAGGCGATCCGACAGGGAACGATTCCGGGGGTTAGGTCGAACATATTCAAATATATTCCCCAATAGTCCAGACATACTTTGAAACATCGTCCCCATACTATTTTTTCTTACCACTTATGAATATTCCTCCTGTAGAGGGACACGCCCGACTTAATCCTGGGGGGTCTCGGAAGGGATGGGGCACGAAGGATACGGTCGGGAATTTGGGCTGAGCGTGTCGCTCCGCCGGTTCTGGCCCACCACGCCTCGGCGCGACACGCTGTCCACTTCCCGGTCCCCAGGCGTCAGCGTCCCGAGCCTTACCCGACCTCCTCTCTCCGCGGACTGGAGAGACACGCTGTCTACTCGCAAGGCATAGCGTGTCGCTGGGGCCGCCGCCGCGACACGCTCAGCAACAGTTCCCGACTGTACAGCCAGGAAGTTTGTCGTACTACGCGTTCGACGGCCCCTCCTAGTAAGTTTTCGGGGTCCAGCTTCCGGTGTTCGGCACTTTGGCTCGGCGTTGGTTTTCGGGGTCCAGCTTTCGGTGTTCGGCACTTCGGCTCAGCGCCGTCGCGCAGCCGGCCCTGGCCCACCTCGTTTCGGCGCGACACGCTCACGGCGTCGTGGCCCCCGGGCGTCACCCAGCCCGATCCCTCCTCTCGGGCCCTCCCCTCGCTCCGCGGAGCGGAGCGACACGCCCGCCGCTCGCGGGGCGGAGCGTGCCGCCGAGGACGCCGCGGCGTGACGCGGAGCAGAAGGAGGGGATAAAACACACACGCAGACACCAGTGATCGTCGACTCCCAGAAAACATGGGAAAATGTGGGGAGTAGGGGGGGGAAGACAAAAACCCATTATCTATACATACATACATACATACATACATACATACATACATACATGCATGCATGCATGCATGCATGCATGCATGCATGCATACATACATACATACATACATACATATACATACATACATACATACATACATACATACATACATACATACATACATACATATACATGCATACATGCACATGCATACATGCATACATACATCCATACATCCATACATCCATACATCCATACATCCATACATCCATACATCCATACATCCATACATCCATACATCCATACATCCATACATCCATACATCCATACATCCATACATCCATCCATCCATCCATCCATCCATCCATCCACATTCATACATACATACATACATACATACATACATACATACATACATATTATATATGGGAAATATGGCGAATCCTGTATCTGCGTGTGTATTCCTTTGTGTGCCCCCAGGGCCTCTTCGGAGCAGAGGTTCCCGGCCGCAGAGGCGCCACCCCTCCCAGGTCGATTTTGGCGGATGGGTCCTCGCTCGGTCCGCGAGAGGGCGTCGCGGCCGCAGCCCGTGCGAGCCTCTGCTCGCCGTGCCGGGTCCAGGGCCGTTTTTTTTGTTTTTTGTTTGTTTTTTGTGTTATGTTTATACACACACATATATATATATATGCATATACATATATATAGACATATATATATGTATATGTATGTATGTGTTCTGTAGGGGGCGTGGTGTACAGCAGGCTCGCATCGTGCACGGCAGCTTCGTGCCGTGCCGACGCAGCGTCGACCCCAGCGCGGACGCTCAAGTTGGGCGCCGCCTGTGGTTGGGGCCCCGCCGAAGAGGGGGTGTCCAGTGCCACCTCGTCGCCGGCGGAAGGCCTGCCGGGGTCGGCTCCGCTGGCGGCAGCCGGCGGAAGTTGGCAGAAGGAGGGATCTCTCATCCAAGAGATGGCATGTTTTGGGATTCAGGGTATTCGGGAAGAGCCATGTGATGGAGTTCGGATCGAGACCGTTCGGCTACGACTTTCTGCGACCTTGCCGTCGGGCGGCCTCGTCGTAGAATGTCCGGAGCGCAGAAGTGACACTCAGGGCCGCGAACTGGGCCCGAAGCCGACATACGGGGCAAGCCACCACGCGCCAGGAGCTCCTCGCTCCTGCGAGCGACACCGCCGCGCCCTCTGTCCCCAACAGGGTTCGTACTGCCACCTCTGGCGACTGCGCCAGCAGTGCCGTCTTGTGCCGGCACCTCCTCGGGGGTCCACCACGTGTCGGCGGCTCAGCTCTGAGGGATGGGCCACGAAGAGTACGGTCGGGAACTTCGGCTTGGCATGTCGCGCCGCTGGTTGCTGGCCCACCGCGTTTCTGCGCGACACGCAATCCACGTCGCGGTCCCCAGGCGGCAACGTCCCGAGCCTTTCCCAGCCTCCCGCCCCGTGGAGCGGAGCGACATGGAGCGTGTTTCTTTATTGCTTTGGGCATAATGGGCATTATAGCCCCAGGCCCCCCCCCCCCCTAATAACGTAACGCCCTTCCCCCCCGAGTGCCCTCCGGGATCTGCCGCGGTGCGCATCGGGATCCGCATCGGCGTCCGCATAGAAATTCGCATAGGAACCTGGTCCGCATCGGGAATGTCATGGGGATCCGCATAGGCATGCGCATGCGCATCTGCATAGGGATCCACATAGGGATCCTGGTAAGGAGCCGCATAGGGATTCGCATAGGGATTCGCATGGCACTGCGCAGGGCATCCGCATCGGCATCCGCATCGGGATCCGCATAAACATCCACATAAGGATCCGCGCATTGATCCGTATAGGGATCCGCCTTAGGATCCACATAGGGATTCGCATAGGGACCCGTACTGGAATCCGCAAAGGGACTCGAAAGTGTGGTTTTGTTTGTGCTCACGGTAACAATTCTGTCTCTTCCTTCTGCTCCTCCCTCTGCTCCTCCTTTTTCTCCTCCTCCTCACCCTCCTCCTTCTCCTGCTCCTCCCCCCCGGACTGAAACCTGCCCCGAGGGAGGAGAACCCAGAGTTCCGACGTCGTAATGTTTTCACAACGTCGACCCCTGGAGGTCTCGACAATTTCAAAGGGACCGGCTGTTCATCCTGAGTCGTTCCTTGGCGGCCCGGGGCCCGTCGAGGGCCCTCACAGGTCGAAAACGCTTCGAGACCCGTCGTCGTGATTTTCTTCACGACGCGAGGAGGTGGCGGCACGGGGGAGGCGGGCAACCTTTCCAGGAGGAACAACTACACACCGGCACAGATAAACGTCGACTTTCACGAGCACGCCATAACATATGGGAAAGGCACTGGGAGACGAACGTGCAGGAAATGTGTTTAAACACAGGGAGTCCTGGATGATATATATATATATATATACATACATATATATGTACAGTCAACCGGCGTAGTAAGGATGGGCAACCTTTCCAAGGGTACCCTTGCATCCTCGCCTCCTCGGTCCATCCGTCGCCACTTCCGCTGGCCGCGCCCCGCTCGAAGAGCATCCAAATCGCCCTCCAGGACCTCTGCATCCTTATCGCTCCTCCTTACTGCACGGGTGGACCCTATGTGTTCGTACACCTTAGGCGATGCTTAAGAAAACCCAAGTTTTCGGCCAGAGTCTTGATTATTCTTAACTTGTCAATGTAAATCCCAAGATTTTGATAGAAGTTCTAGGTTTTTATTCCAGTTCTGAGACTCTGAATTTCTTAACCCATGGTTTCTTAAGCATTTCGCTGTACACATCGCATCCCCGGGCCCCTCTGCACATGGGCGGGCCGGGAGGCCCCGGGGAGGCCCCGAGGGAGGCCCTCCGGCCGCCGAGGCGCGCGGGGCGCCGGGGCGCGGTGCCGCAGGACGAGGAGCCGCTGGCGGCGCCCCGCGGCGACTGAGGCGGCCCCTCATTTCGGGGGGGCGTAAGACCCGGGTTTGCCAGGACTCGGGTTCGCCCTCGTTTTTTGACGGCCGCGGCTCGGATTCTGACGAGTCGGAGTTTCGTGGGATGTCTGCAGCGGGAGGCCTCGTCGAAATGCAGGCTCGGCCTCGGCATTTTTGTGGACGACCTCGTCGGGGATCTCCGAGTTCCCTGTGCCCGGGTCTTGCGCCCCCCTGATCATTGTTCACCGCCTACCAAACCACCCGAGCCCAACCCGAAGATCTCTCAAGTTGTCCTCCATTTCCAAATGGGGGGGGCGTCGGGGAACATGGAAAAAACACATGGAGCCCGTACCGCCCCCAAACCCGAGATTCGGGTCCAATTCGGGTCTTCGGGCTGGGTTGGGGCGGTCTGGTAGGTAGTCACTTTTGGGGGGGCGGAGCGCAAGGGCTGCCGCGCGCCCGCCTGGGGGCGGGGCAGCCTCTATCGGGAGGCAAACAACGTCGGAGGCGGCGAAAGGGGCGAATAGCCCAGGGGCGGGGCACGCCTTCGCCCGCGGGAGCCCTGGCGGAGGCATGGGCCGTCGGGGCGCCCTTGGATACGCGTGTTGCTCTCCCCTGGGTTATTCGCCCCCATCGTCGCCCAGGGGGCGGAACACAGGGCTGCCTCGCGCCTGCCGGGGGCAGCTCCAGTCGGGATGCAAACGAGTCGGGGCTCAAGAGACGGGGGTCAGTGCAAACGGGGGCCAGTCAGAGCGCCAGATCTTGCAGGATCCTGCATGGCCAGGGTCGCACTGACCCAGGCTTGGGCGCAGGCTCCTGCAGGGTTCTGCAGGATCCTGGGATCCTGCAGAGACTGGCTGACCCGGGTCTGGATTGACCCAGGTCAGTGGATCCCCGAACAAGTACATGAGCATGACAATTCGGAACGTGCGGGCCTGCCAACGGGCGCCCGTCGACGATCTGTCGACGATGTGTCGCCGATTGAGGGCCGGTGTTTCCCCCCCCCCCCTGAGCCCGCCCCCCCCCCTCACGCTGCCCCTCGGGAGCGAAGCAATCCTGCCGCGCGCCTGGCTCTCCCCGAGCTCGCCCGCGGGCGGGCCTCTCGCGCCTATTGAATTGTGATCGGAGGAGCGCCCGTCGAGGCAGCGGAAGCAGCCCTTCCTGAGGCGCGGGTCTCGGCCTTCTCTCTTGGGGGCCTCCCCTGGAGGCCTCTCGTCGCCTCTCGGCGGCGGGCCGGTGGGGGAAGAGGAGGAGGAGGAGGAGGAGGAGGAGGAGGAGGAGGAGGAGGAGGTGGAGGAGGAGGAGAGGAGGCGAGAAGGGGGGTGAGGAGGCGAGAAGGGGCGGGCCTTCTCAGAGTCGGGAGGATCGAAATGGGTACGGAGAGAACGGGTACGATGCCCAACAGCAGCTCCTGTTCATTTTGAACAGGACTCGCGGTTCGCGCCGCCGCGGACGTTGTTTCTTTGAAGACACGAAGCCGCCTGCCTGGCAGCGGCCGCTGTCGGTTTCGCACGACCTCTGTTGGGCATTGTGCCCACGTTTTCAGTGCCCATTCTTGCGTCCAAACAGAAGGCTCGGAAGTCTGAAAGCTTTCCGCGAAGGCGCAGAGCAAAAAAAAGCTGACTGGACGGCCCGAGGGCTTCTGGGAAGCCCCGGCGCCTTCTGAGAGGGCCTCCTCCTTCTCGTTCCCCCCCCCTCGCTCCCTGCCGAGCCACGGCCGCATCCGCGTCGAAGAAAAAGAAGAAGAAGAAGAAGCCAAGAAGAAGAAGAAGAAGAAGAAGAAGGAGAAGAAGCCTAGAGGGACCCCAGGAAGTGCCTGGTGACCGATTGTGAGCGGGTGTTGGCCGGGCGTCGGAGCCGCCGTTGCCTCCCTGCGGGCCCATCTCCGATCTCCACGGCCGGCGCAACCGAGCAAGACGTCGTGTATATCCTGCTAGTTTCTGGACGCCCCAAAAGGGGTACGGAAAGAATGGGCACAATGCCCAACAGCAGTTCCTGTTCATTCTGAGCAGGATTCGCTGTCCACGCCGCCGCGGCCTGTGTCCATTTGAGACAGAAGGCCGCCTGCCCAACAGCCCCCGCTGATGGTTTGGGACAACAATTGGTTGTTGGGCATTGTACCCATTGTTTCCGTGCCCATTCCGGGCGTCCAAATAATTTGTTCGCTCCGGGGAGACCCCCTGAGGGGCCAGAATGGGCGAGGGCTCTCGATCTGTTTCTTGGGGCCCTCGCCGTGCCCCGCGAGCTTCTCTGCGTAGGCCCAGAGCCCGGTTTTGGCCTAGCGACAGCTCGATGGCAGTTGGCCGCGGCCCGCGCCCGTTTCAGATCTCGTTTCAAAGGCTCGGCGACGAGCAGCGTGCACCGGCGGCTTTCGAGGAGGGGTCCTCGACGAAAACGGAGTCGACTCTCTGTCATTGCCGCCGTCGTCGTCGTCGTCGTCGTTCTACTCCTCCCCCTCCTCCTCCTCCTCCTCTTCCTCCTCCTCCTCCTCCTCCTCCTCCTCCTCCTAATCCGAAGGCCTCTCTCAGATTCTGCATTTTCGACGGCACTTCGGGGGGGGCTTGCTCAGCCGTTGGAAGGCTGAAGGCACTGGTCGAGCCCCGACCCTTGCTAATCCAGTATGGGGCAGGGGTGGAAGAAACGCCCCAAAACGCAATGACGGTGAAAGAGGAGTGCCGACTCAATGGGCACATGTTTATCATTGGTTGCGCAAAGCCCTCTCATCCTCCCACCCCTCACCCAAACAACAATACGCACAAACTGCTTGATACCAGCTTGTAGACCCCAGGCAGGGGACTAGACAGAACCAAGTTCATGATACGCTTTGCATGGGGTGCACTTCTCGAAGTGCATGCTATGCATATGTTGTGGGGCTTCTGAGAAGAAATCCATGAGTTGCAAGATGTAAGCTGGAACCTACCGTGCGCAATCCATAGCGTCCGCTGTATGTGATGCGGTGCATGAAGTAGAATGTGTGGGGTGCAGTACTCGAGGTGCCACGTGTTGTGTGCAACGTGTGCGGTTAACCAGGTATTCTCAAATAGTGAGGGAACAATTCAGGTGATGTAGTGCGCCACGATGCGCCACGTGCCTCAGCGTGCGCCAGGTGGGCCGCGCATTCCAGCCGGGCCGCATGCAGAGTGAGACATGCTCGGGCCACGTGCAGAGTGAGCTGCGCCTGCGCACGTGACAGCACACATCGGGAAACATGTCGGCCCCCACCATCCTTGTCGAGAACCAATGCACATCACTGTGTCTGATGGGCCTGCGCACAGCAGGCCATACGCCACCACCCCCGCCGTCCCTGACAATGATCGCGGGGTGGCCGCGCATGATCCAGATCTAGCCGCGAGATGCATGTTGTGCTGTGTGTTTGTCAGGGATGGTAGCCCTGCGCGCAGCAGGCAATATGTTGACACCCCCGCCTGCCCTGTCGAAAGACAATACAAAGTGCTCGCGGGCCTCACGAGCATGACTCTAGACTTTGCCCCGAAGTGTATGCTGTATTGTCTTTGACAGGGATGGTGGGGGGGGCGCATTCGGTTATTTGTGCATGCTCCGAATTTGGAGGCAGAGTACGTGTTGCATGGCTTTTTGATAGAGATGGTGGGGGGGCCCTCATGGATCCTGGTTGGCCGCCGGTCGCCTGGGGGAGGGGTGTATATTAATAGGAACAATAAACAAACCCTCCCCGAAGGGGAAGACGGGGGTTGGAAGAGGAGCCTCCCTAGACCACCTACGCCCAGGGGGCTGGTGGTATTTGCACAGATAGCCACAGACCACCACCTAGCACAGATGAAAGCAACAACCGCCGCTTTCCGACAATTGCTCTCAGACAGCGACAGATCTGCCCTCGGTGAGCGCCTGTTTTGCGCGAAGCATTCTTTTAATCACGATGCTTGGTTTCAGTTGTGTTGTTTGCTTTCGGCGGTGTTGTCTGCTTTCGCTGGCCTCGAGCTTTCTTCTGCTTGCGGTTTCTCGCACTTTCTCGGCGCTTCCGCCCCACCCTTAGGGGGCCACATGCGAACCCTACCCCTACCCCCCACCATTTCGGAGGGAGAGGGTGGGGTTCACTTCGCTCGGGAGCTCCCGAACGAAGTGAACCCCACCCTCACCCTGAGAAATCGTGGGGGGTAGGGGTAGGGTTCGCATGTGACCCCCTACCTCCTGCGCACGCGCGGTGCACGCTGCAGACCATGTCCCCGTCGCCACCTCCCGAGCCCGGGGCGGCTGGCGCCGGCCGGATGGACCAGAAGGGGGCAAGGGCAAACGCCATGTGGCCAGAGGGGACTTGACAAAACGATTCCCAAGGTTTTCTCACCGGTTTCGGGCTCTCGGGATCTTCCCCGGGACCGTCAAGCAATAATGCGGAGGGAAGGGCTCCCCACAGGAACCGCTTATGTTACCTACCAAGGCAAACGGAGGTGCATCACGTGGCCATTCTGTGCCAAAATGCAGTCAACCCGCACAGTAGGGATGAGCAATTTTCCAAGGCTGCCCTTGCCTCCTTCACCTTCGGCCCCTCCTAGGCCGCTCTCGCTGGCCGCCCCCTCGCTCGCCAGAGTGTCGACATGGCCTTCCAAAGCCCTTGCGTCCTCATCGTGCGTCCTTGTTGTTCGGGCTGACTGCAGAGCGGAGGGGTCGTCCTGCGCATGGGTCTCTCCGCCCCAGGTTTTGGACCATCCACGTGTACAGACCCCCCGACGTCATGATTTGTTCATCACATCGACCCCCTGAGGTGTCGACCCATTCCCAATCAGTGTTTCATGCTGAGTCGTCTTTTGACGGTCCCGAGGGCTGGTGTGGACCTCCAGAGGTTGAAAATACAACATTAGCCTGGCGAAGGACCCAACCGTATGCAGTTGTGAGTGACGCGTTCTGGGTGCCGCTTTCGGTGGAACTCCCTATGGGGCCACGAAGCGCGTGCAGGACGTGCCGTAATGGGTGGGGGAGACGCGTGCGGGCGATGCCATTGGGGCCTTCGGTGGGGCCCCCTATGGGTCACGAAACTTTG